TTATAGACACCCCTTAAATGGAGACACCCCAAATCACCCATATTTAGGGAGTGGTCTCCAAACCTTTGTGCTCATTCACCTCCTCAGTAAAACTTTCTGAGCATGCCCTTTAGCATACTCATTTATAAACACACACACACACTGCTCATACTGCAGCACTGATGTGTACGTTAAAAACCAAGCGAACATAGAAATTTTCAAAGGCTATTGTTCTGGACTCAGTAGAGTTTAGGGAATGGGGCAAGGAGTACTTACAGGCAGCACCTCAAATGCTGTAATTGATTAAAGAATGTGTATGTAACATTTGTGGCAAAGTGGATGTAAAATAGGCATGGGCGCATGATTTTAGGTCAGCGAATGTATGTATGTATGTATGTCTTTTTACTTAAAATGGGCATTTTTGGGTTGGGGAAGAGAATGGTGAATAAATAGATGTCCCCTTTACAAGAGCTATTTTAATTCTGGTTTTGGGACCACTTGATCTAGAATGTTTTGAAAATTTCTGAAAGATTTCACAGTATATGGACTTAGGCAAAATAAGGAAAGCTAGGAGGGGGAAAAGCAAATAATGCAAATACAGGATGTATTGCTTCAGAATCTCAGTACCAATCTGAAAAGCATGTTTTGATAATTCCTGGTAACCATTCATCTCGCTGATTATAAATCTCTCTTCTATTTGTTGACAACCCTCTGTCTCCAAATGTGTGGAAGACGCACAGATTTATTTTCAAATATCCAAGACAAGAAGGACCAATGTTGATATAATTCAAACCCACATTTCAGCTGCTTGGGGGCTGATGGATGGACTCTGGCTGGAAGCACTTACCTGCACCATCTGTTTTGCAAACACAAGGAATAGCATCTTGCTGAACAAGGGCCTCAGTGTCAAGGTGGCATTCCAATGTTTCTTTCTGGACCTCTGAGTTCCTTTAGCACAGTTATTGTTAGTAGTTTATAAAGCCATATTTAAACTTGTACACTTGATTGTAAGATAGATTTGAATTGTGCACTATGTTGACTACTGTATATAAATGTGGAAATTCTGTACATTTGGTCTTCATGCTGTATGTATTTGATGTGTAAATGATAACTAATGGTTATGAAATAGCTTGCTGTGAATGTCTTTATTCCAATTTGCTTCTCTCTTTGCAGATTTGAATGTCTTAACTTTACACTCATGAGGAAAATCTGGAATCTTTGATTCAAACATACTGTTAAGTGGTGGTCTCTTAGAGGATCGGGAAGATATTTTCCCTGTAAGGTTCTTGTATAATTAAAACAGAGGTAATGAATTTTTTAGGCATATAACTTTCAGATAGAAATTCAACAGAATGTTTTTTATGTAGAAAAACAGGTCTTTGAATATGCTTACACCTCCTGCCTTTTCATTCTTGCCCGGTGTGCCCCTCCGAGCTTTTGGGGAGTGACACGCACTAGTAGAGAGAAGAAAAGGGGGAGGGGATCAGATGCTAAGACCTTTGCTGTGGGTACAAGGCCTGAGGATAGGGCAACTTCCCCTTCTGTTAATAGCATCTGAATTAGTTTTTGCCCCTCTTCAATGAAGTAATTGTGATGTCCATTTTGTAGAAGAGGGAAGAGGCTTGGGAGGTCAATTAGGGTAGAGAGGCTAAGACAGGCTCAAGTCATTGATTTGCAGTGAGGTTTTAAAAATACAAATCTTATGACCTAGTGTCCCGTCCATATGTGCCTGGCGATGAGCCGTGAAAGACAGGCGGACCTAAGGGCGTGTCAGGAATGATGGAGACATTTCGGGTGTTTGAAATCCTATCTAGAAATTTGACCAACTATTATTCTCAGTGTTTAGAGCAAACTGCGATAAGGTAACAGCCAAAATCCCAAACTTCCCAAACTATGGGAAGATCTATTAAGCAGAAAATGTGAGAATCCCCGAACCCCACATTCTAGAGGTCACAGTTTGGTTTTCAGACCCCCTTTCTCTCGACTAATAAATCGCAACCATTCAGCCCTGCTTATTAACGTAGGCCCTTATTAACATAGACCCATAATTAAAAATGCTTTGGGACAAATTTCTATCTACCTCAACTTAAATTAGCTCCAGACCCTTCTAGAAGTTGTATGGGGGTTTTGGACCCAAGCCTGGTGTCTGTCCCCGTAGGGAATCTTGCTCTCCTTGCTTTCAGAGGCTTCAGAAGGAAGGGGGTTGTTTGCCTTTCCAACGTGCTGTGTTCTCAGAAGTGTTAAGAGAAGTATCTTGCTGCCAGCTGTCCTGAATATTCCATGACTTGATTTTTCATATTTTTGTCCTCCTTTCTTTTTAGAGGAGAGGCAGAGCAGTTGGTGTCCTGGCTCTCTTAGGGGCCGCCTGTTTTGTTTGCACAGGATGCCACTGTCAGCACCCATTAAACACTTCCCATCTGGGCTCGTTCCCATTAGCAACAGACTTCTTTTGAAACCTACAAGGTTAAAGTCGCTTATGCTCTGGGGCAAAGAAAACTTTGAAGAAACGAGAAAAAACGAAGGCAAGAGAAGCAGCATCCTCCCTCACAGCGTTGCTGCCCTGTGTGTCCAAGAGGTACCTGGTCTGTTTTCATGGTGGGGAACTACTGTGAGGGCTTAGGGGGTCCTCTCCCATCGAGGGCCTGTTAGAATTGAGGGTTCATCTACCCCTGGGTGTAAGTGTGTTTGGCCTTGGCAGGCACACTAAGGACTCATGCTCAGCCTGTATCCAGGTAAACCCTGATTAAAACGGCGTCACAGGCAGCCTCGGAAGGGAGGAGGAGAGTTGATGGAAGGGCTGTAGGTGGCCCCAGACCCCTTCCCCAGCCCTACAGTATCCTCGCGTTTAATTGTGTGGAAACCCTGCTGCTTCCTTCTCCACCCTCACAGACCTCCCTCCAACTAGCTGGGGCATTTAGAGGCAAATAGTGGAAATTTTAGGGCTGCACAGGGATGTCAAATAAGTCCAGCTTCACCGCTGGCACAAGCATAAGGTGGGTGGTAAGTGGGGAGGAAGCCTGGGCCACACTGTGTGGGAGTCATCCCTCTGAGGGTGAGGAGGTTTACTGAGCAGGGGACTACTACGGGGAGAGAATATTTAAAGAAGGTTTGTTTGGTGACAGCCTGGATGCAGGACACGTGAGAGAGGAGGCTGTAGCTGAGCAGCTGGGCAACCTCAGTGGTTCCCAGAGAAGTCAGAAGGAAGGGGGGGGTGGAGCAGGGGGAGTGGGGAGGGGGGGACGCCAGCCCCAGAGCACAAGGACATGCCTAGTCTTGGATGTGGGGAAGGAGAGGGCCAAGATAATGAGGTTTTGCTGGGAGCTGGGGGCTGCCAGGTGTAGGAAATGGGGAAAAGGGGCACTGGTGGGGGGAGGGGAAAGGGGGGAAGTGGTGTTTGGTTTTGGTTGTAGCCGCACTGAACATGAACCAGTAGGAGGCGCAGGGCTAGAGATGTGATGTGGGTAAAAGTAGAAACAAATGGACTGGAGAGAGAGGAAAAATCTTTAGTACCTTGGGCGCCAGGAAGGCTCAGTCAGTTAAGTGTCGCCTCTTGATTTGGGCTTAGGTCATGATCTCACGGTTCGTGAGTTTGAGCCTGCCTCCGGCTTTGAGCTGACAGCATGGGGCCTGCCTGGGATTCTGTCTCTCCACTCACACCCCTGCCCTGTCTCTGCCCCTCTCCTGCTTGGTGCTCTGTTTCTCTCTCAGAATAAATAAGTAAACTTGAAAAAAAGTCTTTAGCACCCTGCATTTGTATGTTTCACTGTCTTTAGGATACTCTCTCAGTAGCTCCCTGACCATGTCCCCTGGAGTCCTTGTATATAAGATGAGGGGTCTTGCAGTTTGCTCTTCAAGGTCCCTGCTGGCTCAAACCTCCTTTCACTGTTCCCGATGGTTGAATACCACTTAATACCAATAAACATCGATTCCACCTCCTGCTTTGTTGATTCTCATAGAATTGGAAAGAGGAATTTATTGACCAAATCAGCTAGTAGTAGCTAACATTTACTCATCACTTACTGTGTGCCTCGCACTGTGTTCTTGGCAACCTACATACAGGAACTCATTTAACCTTTACAACGGCCCAGTGAGATGGGTACTATCACTCACCACTGCCGCCATCATAATTACCACCACCCCTACCGTGTTGTCACCACCCCCTTCCTCCTCAGCATCACCATCATCATCTGTAGTTTATAGATGAGGAGCTGAAGCAAAGAGAGGTTTAAGTAACTTTGCCCCGGATCTCTGCCAAGTGAACAGCAGAGCTGGGGTTCAAGTGCAGTGTCGGTGTTTAAGAGCCTAGCTTTGACACCACTGTGCACTGCTAGCTCTAACATTTGGACTTCTTGAGTAGAAGGCTGTGAGGACGGAGGGTGCTTGTGTTGAACCAGAAATGACTTTACTTAATTTGCTTCTGCTGAATCATTCTCAGCCAGCCGTGTGAGGTTTGCCGTCCCACACAAATTGACAAGGTTTCCTCGGTCAATTCACTTTGCTTCTGGTGTCATGGCCGTTGAGACCCCACATGCTTCATTCCCTTGACACCTTAGGGAATTCCTGGGGAAATTCCTGGGGGAAAAGAAGGAGAAAACACACCGAAGTGGCAGGATTCTTAGGGTTCTTACCTCCTGCTGTCCAGAGGAGCTCACCACGTACATTGTTTTCCACTGTCTATAAGCAGATGCTGCACACGTCTCCGTCTCTAACCCTAGACCTTGCTCCTTATTCTCCAGAGCCATATATATATATATATATATATATATATATATATCCATGGGACACTGCCTGTGGATGTCTCCACGTGTCTGGATGTGAGATGATAATCCCTTTTCCTCCAGTCTACCGGTTCTCAGTGTTTCAAAGCCACTGAACGTCTAAGCAAGACCCCTGTAGCCACCCAGTCCTGTGGCTTCTGCTTCCTCAAAACAGTTCGAATGCATCTCCCTCTCCGCTCAGCCTGAACTTCCGGGGCTGCAGTTCCCTCCTTCTGGTCTGCTTCCCTCACACCCATTCTCCACCTTGCTGCCAAGCGATTCAAGAATTTGGGTATCATCCTTGCGCAGGGGCCATGCTAGTCTTCTCTGTATCCTTCCACTTGAATATGTGTGCTGCTGAAGCGAGCACTGCCAAGCTGCTCAGAGAAGGAAACTGTCCAAGTTGCTTCTGTAGCTTTCGGTACAAAGTACAGGCACAAAAGGCTCCCCGTGACCTGGAACTTGCCTCCCTCACCTGCCGTATTTCTGGCCACTGCTCTTCCCATCTTCACACACCAAACTCCAGATCTACTGAGATATGAAATTGCCACTTTGTTTTACCTGTCATTCTACCACTGAAGGAATGATGCTGTGTTAAAAAAAAATTACTGGCATTTTTTTTTCTATTTACATTGATAATAAATGGTTTGCTGTAGTTGATTTTTTTCTGTTTTCTCTGCTGAGTGCCTTCATTTCAACAGACTTTCCCTAAGGAGAGACAGCCAAGGAGAAAGGTGTTCTTTTTCATATCTTTGACATGGTGGGGGATAGAATGATAAATCAGACACTGACACTACCCTTAGTGGTAGGTGAGACATGAACACATAAAAACTCTGGTAAAAGATAAAGGCTAATAAATACCACAAGAGAGAGACAAATAAGATGGCTTGGACCCCATGGTGGGGAGAGTCCTTCCAGCCCAGGAATGCAAGAGAGGGAACCCACTGTGCCTCTCTCTACTATTCCCCTGCTCTCCCAGTCCTGAAGGTAACTCACTTTTCCAAGTCATGACAAGTCCAGATGTGCCCCCTTTACAGCATAGGAAGGAGGAAACGTGTCTTTCTTTGGCTAAAAAGACTTTCATGAGTCTGGACGTTTCAAAATGGTGGTCCACAGACCACGTGATCTGAGTTGTAATAAGTGTGAGGAGTACCAGTAAAGCTGGATCCTCATCTTTCTGAGACAACCCCCACTGTCAAGGACCCTCTCTCCACTGTTAGCATCTTAGGTAAATAACATTGGCACTGAAGGGGCAAAGGAGGCAAAGAGGTGTCTTTAAAGGGTTAAAACAGACATGGAGCACATCTGTGGTAGGGAAGGACAGGGTATTACACCAGGCGCGTTGAGGCAGGTGGTGTGGGCTGACTCGGTGTATGTGCCCTATGTCTTAGCATCAGCTAGGTCAACCCTTTCTCCTTAAAAGCAGCTTTTGCAAGTCCCTGTGCAGAAGCTTCTCCTAGGAGTGCATATTAGCTTTGGGAAACTCTTAGGATGGAACACCATCCACAAATGCTTGTGGTTGCATCCTTACCAAACATTTGCTTTACTTGCTGTTGTTGGGTATTTATTCCCCAGGCAGGGCTCTCTAGCTGGTTGTAGGGTGTCCAGTTTCTGGTGTTGGGTAACTTTAAGGGTGTAGGGTTTGCAGTAGGTGGAGGCCCAAAGGGTACCACATGATCCAACTCTTCCACAGCATGATACACATAGTAAATGCTCAATAAAGATTGGTTACAGGAATGGACACATCCTCAGGTAAAGGACAAATCAAATTGCAAAGAAATATCCAAAGTTTGAAGTTTGACATGACATACTGTGCAGAGGCAGCCAGTAAATTACTCACAGAACAAACCACAGGTGACTGAAATATGGGGTAGTAATTTTTGTAGGCTCAAGTGGTTTATGCAGTCCTCAGATCTCTCGATGGAATTATAGCCCCGTAATTCAAATAGCTCCCATTTCCTTGACACACATAGGCCATGGATCTGAATCCCAAATCTTGCGTTTTTCTCCACCCTTGCAGTCTTATGCTGCCCAATAAAATCTTTTGTTGGAGCCTCAAGTATGAGGTACATTCACTTCTTCTTTGTCTTATACTGTTTCTATGTATTATAATGTATTTAATTTATTAACGAGACTACATCCATTAAAACTGGCTTTCTTATGGGGTCTTGGAAGTGTATTCCTTTTAGCTATATAGGTTTTTGCATCCTATAGGAAGCAGACTGATGTTAGTGATGCTTTCTTTGCTCAAGTATTAGCATGCATGGATTTAGCCTGATCTCTGCACTCAAAAGTAGAGGGAGAAATCCTTGGTAGGTAGGAGATAAAGGTTCTTCTTTCCTTTTTCCTCCTCCTGCTTCAAGTCTTCCCTGATATGAGGAATTTGAATTCATTGTACTGAATAGCTATTGTTGTTAGCTCTCTTTCCTATAGATGGTCTTATACATATGCAACCAATACTTTAGTTTTTTTTTTTTTTTAATATTTTTATTTATTTCTAGGAGAGAGAGAGAGACAGTGTGAGCAGGGGAGCGTCAGAGAGAGAGGGAGTCACAGACTGAAACAGGCTCCAGGCTCTGAGCTGGCAGTCAGCACAGAGCCCGACGCGGGGCTCGAACCCACGAACCGCGAGATCATGACCTAAGCGAAAGCCGGACGCTTAACCGACTAAGCCACCCAGGCGCCCCGCAACCAATACTTTAAAAACAGACATGTCAGGTACAATTATAAAGCAACTTATTATTATTGGATTTTTTTTTTTAACTGGCCCTGCAAAGTTAGCCATGGTAGGGCTAGTTTCCCCCCTAATATTGGATGAAATTATAGGCAAGCCTCATTGTTTATCTGCTTACTCTTAGATGGTGAAAAGTTGGGGATCTCTTTAGTCTCTCAAAGCAGGTGCAGTTCTGTGAAGCATATGGGTAGTCGTGTAATAATCGAAACTCTGAATTGCATTCAGCACTAAAGCTGCTCCCTTGCTTTGTTTGAATCTCCACCAGAAGACAGCATGGTACTTTTATTTTGTGTCTTCTGTTGACCTCTACCTCCTGACCCTTTTCCCACCCCACATGTGCATTGGCTAGCTGCAACTTCTGACTATTCCAGGATTAGAGCAGAGGAAAACATGTATAACTTGACTGCCACCAAAATGGTTGCAGATATCTGTAGATGTTTAATTTTTTAAATATTTATTTTTGAGAAAGTGAGAGAGAGAGAGAGAGAGAGAGCGAGAGCGAGCGAGCATGAGCAGGGGAGGGGCAGAGAAAAAGGGAGACACAGAATCTGAAGCAGACTCCAGGCTCTGAGCTGTCAGCATTGAGCCCGATGCAGGGTTTGAACTCATAGACTGCAAGGTCATGACCTGAGCCAAAGTCAGATGCTTAACTGACTGAGCTGCCTAGGCGCCCCAATGTAGATGTTTATGTTTAAAAATTTTTTTTAATGTTTTATTTATTTCTGAGAGACAGAGACAGCGGGGGAGGGTCAGAGAGAGAGGGAGACAGAATCTGAACAGGCTCCAGACTCTGAGCTAGCTGTCAGCACAGAGCCCGACGCGGGGCTCGAACCCACAAACTGTGAGATCATGACCTGAGTCGAAGTCGGATGCTGAACCTACTGAGCCACCCAGGGCGCCCCCCCCCCCCCCCGATGTAGATGTTTAAGATGACTCTGTGGTGAGCACTTTCCTAGAAATTTTGGAGCCCTCCCTAGTACTGGGAATCTTTCAACTGGCAGTTCCCATGACAAGCAAATTCATTTCCCCTCAGTTGGAACTCTATCACTTTTCCAAAGGTGTCTTGAGCAAAACGCCTTTAAGATGGTGCCATTACCTCTGTCTCTCTTTACGTTAAAATGTAGACCTCTCCACTAAAATGTTGAGCTCTCCACCAGACCCCATTCAGTAAGCTTCAGAGGATTGGAAACTACTCCCACCCTTCCCCCACCTCTGCTAGACCTGCTTAGGTGGTTTGAGACTCCACTGCAGAGTGGGATTAGTTGGAACCTATTGTCCTGAGGCCTCAGTAGAAAGTGAGGGTACACACCCAATTTTATGTCCTGTAAAAAAAAAAAAACATATACATGTGAAAGAGAATCAAAAAGATTTTTATGTGGGCTTGACGGTCATAAGTCTGTGGGGAGCTACTGATGTCCTCACCTAAATGAGCAGGACTTCGGGGTCTCAGGCTAGCTGTGGGAGGCTCTTATCACAATGGCTCTGCTCCAAGCAACTGCGCCTTCCCTGTTCCTTCTCTCGGGCTCCTATTTCTTCCTTTATCATTGCAAAATAAGAGAATGAAACATTCTCTGTTAGCCCAATGAACTGGTTGATCTTGCCCTCAGATCCTGAGGTACTCTGAAGCTATCTATCCCCTTGGTATGGAGGAATATTTCCAAATGTCCTTTTCTTTCAGTAACCTAGAATGAAATTAACATCCATATATAAAAATTAATCATATAATCAATTAATCAATGGGTATCTATTGCTCACCTTGTGCTTTGTTCTGTGCTAGTGATTTGGAGGGGCTAAATATGTATGGGAATATAAACCATGTATATGTGAAAAGATATCTGGCAAGTGGGCAAAGGGGACTGTCAAGGGGCCTGGATGAAGATCGACTAGTAGGAGTCCTTGGCCTTATGGAAAGCTAGTGGAATTTGATGGGAGAGATTAGTTATTAAAATTTCTCATCTAAAGCCACAAATGAAGGATACATTGTTCATAGAGGTTTATTCCCAAATTGTGATTCAGGGAAGTTGTAATGATTTGTGTTTTAATTATGCCTATGTATTAGGTTAGGGTTAAGCCAAGACTTACCAAAATAGAAATCGATGCTTTTAAAGTCTGGGTGCTGTGTGCTGGGTGCTATCGTTGTGCCCCTGACTAGCTGACTGTGGTGGAGGGGTCCTGCTGTGAGTGGCAGGTCTGTGAAAGACACTATAGCATGGCGGATGCAAAAAGGAGGAATTTGGACTTCCTGTGCGACGCAACGGAGACTTTCAAGTGGAAGATCAGCAAGATGATAAAGGGCGATTAATCCCACAGCATTGGGCATGAGAAGGGAAGAATAGAGCGTCTTATAGAATAGAGTGTCCCTTCCTTTTTATTCACATTGTTGCTCTCAACTTGGGTCCCTATTGTTTCTTGTCAGAACTTCTTACTTTAAGGATTCCTTACTCCCTGCAGAGTAATCTCAACTCTGTAACTTGATTGTCAAGGGCATCTGATACCTGGTTCCTAAATTATTATTCTCATGCTCCCCTACGTGAAGCTTTTTCATTGTGAACTTTATCCTCCACCCAAAAAGCTGCATTATTCAAAATTGTGTCATATCTTTGGCTACTTTTATGTCTTGGTTTATAGAGTTTTCA